GATCTACCAGCAAAAATCGCAGGAAACAAGTACTACACTACTCTCGATCTAGCTTCTGGATATATGCAGCTCCTTCTGTCCCCAGAAAGTCAGTATAAATGCGCTTGGGCAACACATAAAGGTATATACAAGTTCGTTTATCTTCCCTTCGGGTTGCGCAACGCAGGCAACAGCCAGATCTCGTCTCCTTGCCTAACATGCTGTGCTGCGAAGGAAGCCTTATCAGCGGTGTAACCGCAGAAGACAGACAAAGACTTCTCAATATAGTGGATTTCCCTAACCCACGTCTCCCATTTATGTTCACAAACATCAGCGGAGAGTCGGTAAAGGTAGTGCACTCTCACTATAACGAGCTACAACAGGAGGTGTGTCATCAGCAAAGGAATTGCACCCAACGACATCGTAATCATCTCTTCCTAGAAAGAGCATCAGCGACGCTTCGCAGAATTTGCTGCACGTTCAGGAGTTCGCTTGTCAACAATGGACGCGGTCCAAGGATGCGAAAAAGAGGTAGTTGTGATACTAACCAGCAAGACCAACTTTGATCCTAAGGGAGCCGAATTCCTCGACGACAGAAGGCGAATAAACGTCGCATTAAAGCGATGCTGTCAGAAACAGTTTCTTCTCGGCCACTAGGCCTCACTGGAGCAATTACCCTTCTGGGGAAAGGTCCTGCAATGGTCCAACGATCCCAACGCCGTTATTCCTTCTACCAGCCAGCCTAGGACATTCAAGAAAAGGTGAGTGCAATGCTGAGTCGCCTAACCTTCTTAAAAGTCCCTTCGGGACTTTCTGGGTAAAAAGGGGAGTGCAAGGGAGAACGGCTGTGATACGGTTCTTTACAGAACACCGCGGTTGAAGAAGCCGAGATCAAGCTGATATGGCGCGGGCAACTTAAAGAGGCGAGAAGAAAAAGCGAGAGAGAAGAAAGGACGCCACCATCTGAAGCAGTACGCTCAACCGTCGACCTCTGCTGCTGATAATATCCATACCCATGTTCTTACCAATTCGCCATATTATCCACCAAACTTTCTATTTATATATTTTCTAATAAACGATCATTCTAAACGCTGTACTGTTACGGCAAGTGAAGGGCCCTAACACTTACTGGTAGCAGCGAGTGGA